AAAAGAATTAATCACATCGTTTTATGTTTCTCAAAGCAAATAATATTTGTGACTAAAGAAGTTCTTACACGAGTCTAATAGAAGTCATTCTTACGCCATCGAAAAACAATTAAGCAACGACTCATGACGTTTCCAACTGCAATGCGCTGGTTCAGTGTGATGTCATTTTGGTTCCACTGACATTTAATTCTAACCAAACTTTTAACAAAAACATCAATAAATTTGACATATATGTTTTTACTGTTTTTAGTTTATTTCTAAATATTGTTTAGAGTTCACAAAAAATAGTTTAAAGGTATGTAGTTGGTAACTAAACAATTGTATATTTGATGCATGTAATCTACTTACTTTAGAAATATATTTATAAAAGTGAAAAAACGTAATAATTTAGGTAAACAAAACGAACAAAACGCACTTAAAAAATCTACTGTCACTTTAATTGTCAGTGGAACCATAATTACATCATCACTGAACTAGCGCATTTCGTGGTAATTTTCCATGCGTTTACGATGGCACTGCCCACACCGAGAGCAAAATCGCGATTTATCAGATTTTAGTATGGGGACAAATGGCGCAAAATTTGAAATTGACTTTTTCATTACACACTTTTGTTAGGTAAATAATTAATTATTACCTACGTCATGCAAATGGTCTTGGTCTTTCTTGTCAGGCGCCCACTCACCGGGCCGCAAAAATTTATGCACTGGGCCGCAAGCGGCTCGCGGGCCGCGAGTTTGACATGCTTGTTCTAGAAGCTTATAACTTGTACTGGAATAAATTCTACGGATCTTCGCACAGTGGGGCAACAAGCCATCAAAGTTGGCAATAAATCACAGACTTTCTTTATGAATTTGTAAGTTAAATATTGCTTTGTAGAGGTGTTAGTATTACAAATGAAAATACATAGAGGGCTTATAAAGTGTTTGTTTGCTAAAAAAATAGAAAGTTATTAAGAATATAATATAATGAAAATGTATATTCTATTCTTAATATCTTTCTATTTTTATTTTAGCAAATAAACACTTTATAAGCCATCTATGTATTTTGTTTTGTAATACTAACATATAATATAATAAAAATGTCATGAGCCTAATGAGGCCTAAGTGCCGTGGGGGTAATCCACTCTCCACACGTTTAAGATGCAGATAATGAAAATGTAATATAATTATTTCATTTAGAAAAGCTATGATAATTGTAATCAAATTTCATCCTCTTTAGAATGTGATAAGACATTTTCATCATCGTCTCCACGGTCATCATCAGTGTCATGAATATACCATGGCTATGAAGCTGGACGAGTCCAGATTTAAACAAATCTACTGCTTCTTTAGGAAAGTGCTGCAGGTTCTTTCTTTTTTAATTTTCGTTTGCTCGTGATTACAAGTTCGAAACTAAGTAAAAACGAATTAAAGACATCCTCATTAGTTTTCTCTGTTAATTGGTATCTAAGCAACAAAGCAGAAGATGTTATTTCAGGCCCATGAATAAAGTATTTGTGCAATGTCGGAGGCATATTGACCGTGGGTACTTTTCAACAAGGTATCTAACGGTGTTGTGAGCAAATTCTATTAATTTCATTCTTTCCAGAACTTCTCATGATATTAAGAAGTTTCTTTCTCGATAAAAACATGGTGGTCAAAAAGTATATTTACATACCTACCAAATCAGATCCATTGAGTACAAATCGGTCAAAAACTAAAATAGCAGCGTTGCAAAGCATAATAATGTGTTATTATAGGCTTCTATGAAAACATAAAAACCAGACAACTTACGATTGAATGGACCAATCGTGCTCGCAAAGGTCAAAATAAAGAAAATAGGTTAGATATTTACCTTTTGTTATTAGATTTTATATTTAATTTATAATTATTACGCAAAACGAGCTTAAAATGGGTTACTTTTAGGCTCGTTTTTTCTTCAATTAGATCGGCCATCTTAAATTTTACATTTCTAGCATTTTGTTATGTCTGTCTGGGAGTATATTTAGTTGCCTATAAAATGAGCCTAAGGACAATACAATCGATTTATTAATAAACGAAATATATTAAAAAAACAATTCGTTTTTGATGATCGTCCCGCCATATATTTATATACTTTGAAAAAACCCAAAGAGTAAAGAAAAGTGCAAATAAGTGCACAGAAACTAAACGATTTCGAAAAGTACAAAAAATATTCATTACGAAAAGTCGAAATTTAAAGCTTGGACTGCTTTGGAACACAACAAATAGCCTTCATGTATTTAAGAATATTTTAAAATTTTAACGTTTAACCTTTATTTTACTTAACCCCAATATTATAAGATTACGTTTATTTTTCTACAACTTTTTACTTATTAAAATAATAATACATAGCTAAACTTAAAGGCTCCATGGCGGAAATTTGAAAAAAAAAATCAAAATACAGTCTAATCACAGTACAAAAACAAGTTAAAAACTACAAAATAAGAATGAATAGATACTCGCCTCAGATAAGTAACTTTGACTGAAGGTGGCGATGAAACGCGTGAGACAGAAGATCGCACTTGTTCGTTTTATTATGTAGTGGACAGTAATATATAAGAAAAAAATATGAGGTAGAGTGTATATGCTATTTAATTTTTTTATTTATTGCCAAATTTGAGGGCTTGTTGCCCCAGTGTGCGTCGTAAATATAAATAGACAATGATGTTAGAGGTTTTCTCGCCACAGAGGGAACGGTTCTTATAAGTGACGCCTTAGATACAAAAATTCTTAAGGAGGCAACACAAGCAGACGTTAATTGCTAATTCCGCAATAAAAAAACTTTCTGGGGGTGTAAGAGAATAAAAAAAATGGTGGTTTTAGACACAGTCTAATAACAACAATTATAAGCCAATGGGTAAAATTAACAAATTTATTACTTACTAAAACTATTAGCTATAAATAAAAAAAAATAATATTTCAAAGCACACTCCTGTTGAAAACATTAGGAAAGTAAAGAACACTGAAATATTGGTTGGTAAAATAACGACGGACAAGGGAACTCAATGAGACACGGTAAAAATAATACAAATCGGAGGAAAATAAATATGTCAATTAATAAGTACCAAATATATTAGTGAAGCTATCTTAATTAGCTCACTAATTAAGGCAAGTTTCATTTCTTGTACCAATTCCGATCCTATTAGTCCAAGATCCAAAATAAGGTCGACCTTCACCCATCTGTTTACCGGATGAAAGTGTCTTTTTATTAAATAAAATATGTTTATAAATATATTACAAAAGGGTTACCTAAGAAAATACGGTCCAGAGTATTTATTTTCTAAAAATAAAAAAACAACACCCTGTAAAGTATTTCCCAGATACTTCGATTATAACCAAACTTTAAACAGCTCACAGCAGGATAGATTAAAGCCTAAGTTTAAAATTTGGTGTTTTTCTCTTTATCCGTTTTTGAGTTGTCTTCAAAATTCGAAATTTGCAATTTCTCTTAAATATCTCGAATTAGGTCCATTTTAGAGAAATCATGTGTAGAGACAAAATAATAGAGAATCACATCTTAAGCAACTTTTATCATGATTCCTATACTTTCCTTATCTGTACACAGAAAGGAAAACAAAAAATGGCCGTGACCGTATTTTTTTAGGCAACCCATTTGCGGTACATTTAAAAACATATTTTATCTAATGAAAAAAAACTTTTATCCATTAAACAGATGGGTGAAGGTCGACCTTACTTACGGATCCTGGACTATATACTAATTGGTGACCCACGAACAAACTTTACGATAGACTCGAAATTATCTATATTGTAAGTTGTAATAATTGAAAATATAAAGAATTTACCAAAAATTCTAAAAAAGTATTTTAATGTTTTAAATTAAAAATTCAAAAGGAGCACGCGTATGGAAATAAAACAATTAACCAGCTTATTACTTCAGTCAATGGCTTACATTGAACTAGGGAATGTAAGGTAGAACGTTGGCATTCTATCACGTAAATTTTAGGTATATAGAGAGAGAGTTTTCGGGACGCTATGTCCCGAAATAAAGTAATGTGTGAAGTAAAGTTTTTGTGCAGCGATTTGTAAAATATAGGTAAATATCTTTGACTTATTGTTATAGTGTTTTGTTTGAGATGATTAATTGATTTACATATAAATGCTAATTTTACATTTTCGTCTTAAGTATTATAGTTATCTTATACATATTTTATATTATTATATAGTTAAAGTTTCCGGTACAATTTTTAATTGTTAATAAGTCCAAACTATATAAGTCAATAGGAAGTTTATCTAGTTGTTTTTATTTAAAGTTTGGACATATTATCACATAGTACTTTATTCCCTAAATATAATTTGAGTAATTTACTCTTTAGACTATTAGTCAATTTTGAACTTATTTTAAATATACATTTGTTAATTTTTTAATACTTATTATTAATCTCTCCTCCTCCTTTCAAAAACAGGAAAATATTCCGAGCATTTGAGAAGGCTCGGCGTATCCACCCTTAAAGGACTAGTTGCCAAGACCCGCTCGACTATGCTATTAAGGGATAATTTTTGTTCTTTTAATATAATTTTTTATTATTGTTATTTGCCACTGGTGAATGGATGTTCCTTCTGGATTCCAGGACCCTTTGGCTGGTGACAGTGCTACCTTAATCCCTTAATAGTATATAACCAGCAGTAACTAAAGATATATCAGTAGTTACAAATGGTCTTTATAGTAGTTGGTTGTTACATTTTGTGACAACGGTGGGAAAACTAGGCCCACTATTTATAAAAAACGAAATGACATTGTTACTACGGAAAAACAACTTAAAGCTAATACTCTTTTTTCTAAACTCTAAGACTTATTCTCTAAGCTCTACATCTTATTCTCTGTGAAAAATCACGCCATCGTCCATCTCTACTTTTTCGCTGAATTGACATTGACGTTTCTATCTTTAATATTTTACACGTAGATAACTATTCAACTATGCTATGTGAACACGGATGTAATATTTTTTTGTTTTAGGAGTTATATTTTAATTTATATTTCAGATTGGCATTAAAACTAAAAATATTATCACATTTATATTTTCAAATATTGGCAAAACTGGATTCTTCTATACATGGCATTATAAAAAAACGAATATTGAGCACTTAATAAACGTTTCACCAAAGAAAGATAAAGAATTTATCTCATCAGGTTCTTCAGTTAAACGTGAGCTCACTTTTGAGACGTTTAAAAAATACAATCTTGCAAATTTTCCAATGAAAATCGAGGTAAGTCATATTTTATTCGAAATGTATTTCACGGTATTGCATTTATTTTTGTTTTGTTTCATACAATAAGGATATATTATTCCCAGCTTAGTAGTCAATAAATATATATTATACTAAAGTCTATTCAGATTTCATTTAGGCCGCGTCAAAACAATCTCTCCTATCCAGCAACAGCTCACGTGGCATTTTCTTTGCGTTTCTATTGGTTAATCGGTCGTTAGACGACGCGCAAATATTTTTTGTCAGAGTCGAATTCAGTTCAATTTGGATAATTATAAACGGCGTTTTGATAGCATTCACCGTGTTGGTTAGTTTGGACATTTTGTATGTTTGATTGATTATAATTCATTATATTATAGTTTAGATATACATATATTGTGTTATTTATTTTTGTTTTGTTTTTATGGTTGTTGTTAGTTTGAACATTTTTTACTCTATTTTATGGACATTTAATTGACTATATTTTGTAACTGCTGCGTGACACTATGTCCTCCACAGATACAGCAGATGAAGTCCAGAAAAATGTTTTTACTCCTTCTAAAAAGCGACCGAAAAAGGGACATTTTGTCATCCGTACTAAAGAAATGGTTCTTAATATTTATAAGGATTAAATTTTATAGAACCCTGATATGTTGGTACATGATGTTGAAAGGAGAGTTGCTGATAAAGCAGGGATGTGCGCTAAAACCGTTTTTAATGTTATGAAGAAGTATAGGCAGATTCATAAATTTTCTGAACCAAAAAGAAAGCTACGTTATAAACAAATTAGTGGCTCTGTGGATGATTTTGATAAAAATGCAATAAGGCGCAAAGTACATTAATTCTTCTTTAGAAATTAACTTCCAACAATCGATAAGGTTTTATAAGAAGTCAACGATGATCCATATTTGTCTACTTTTAAGCGAGCTACATTTTACAAGCTTTTCAAAACCCTTAATTTTAAATTTAAAACTCAAGGAAAAAATAGTTTGCTTTTAGACAAAATGAAATTGTTTCGTCCTACGCCACAAAAAATAAAACGGTACAGAGAAGAAAAGCAAAAAATATATTATCTTGATGAGACTTGGATTAACGCAGGCGACACCAAATCAAAAGTATGTTTCAATATGTCGGTTTTATCATCCAGACAAGCCTTTTTGGATGAACTTTTAACTGTGTTCAAAAACCCATCAGGTATGTGCGTAAAAACAGCTCATTATATGCTATATTGGAAGTGAAGAAGGCTTTGTCTCTAATGCACTTTATGTATTTAAGTTGAAAAATCCGGTGACTACCATGAAGAAACGTGTGGAGAATCGTTTAAAGAGTGATTTTCAAACACCCTACCAAAATTAGAAGATAACTGCATTATTATTCGAGAAAGCTGGAAAAAATACCTACAACGACGTCTAAAAAAGGTGATATTTAAAAATGGCTATGAGGGAAAAAATTGAATTCGACTACCAAATGCTTAAGATCCAACTTCTAAAACTTGGTAAGCAACATAAACATTATGATAGGTATGTAATAGATGAAATGGCTAAGCAGCAAAACAACATAATATTGAATAAATCTAGGTTGACGTTAAACAATACGTAGCAGATAAAAACTCAACATTTAAATCTGGAGACATTAAATTTCTTTTTGAAGAAGTAATATTATTAATTTCTCCAGAAAAATGAAAAAAGTGTATCGACCATGTTCGCTAAAAAGTTGAAGTTAAAATGTGGGAGTTGGATAATATTATAGAGGTTCAAGTAGAACCACTTGTAATTTTGATTAATGAAGATAGCCCTTCAAATCTAACTAATTTATCCGATTCAGAATAGTGCTAAGTCAAGTAAGGAAGATTGCTATAATACAGGGTACAAGGTGTCTAATCTAAATACTAGTAGAACAAGAATAATAAAGAATTGTCAAAAATACAAAAGGTTTCTTTTTAAGATGCATAATTTTAAATCAAATACCAAATACCTCTTATATTTAAAGTTTTTTTAATGCTTTTAGTAGATATATTATATTAGCTATTAAAGAATTTGCAATTATTTGGATACCCTGTACAATATAATTTTATATTATGATTGTTTTAATGCTGTGTATCACAGTAGACATATGTAATGAACTAAATATAATGCAAACATCTCTTTTAAAGTCAAATACATTTATTAATTTGTATTGCAGGTTAAGGCAGTTTATGTCGCTCACCTATCTTCGTCCAGAAATGTCCCTAAAGTCTGGGAGACCGTGTATGGCATTTATTTTATAGTTTTAGTTTACAAAATATGTTTTTATCGTAATAAAAAAATAATTTCACAATTACACTCTTTTATTTTACATTTTTGCAAGACGGAAAGGTAAAATACGGCCTTGCTCAATTTTAGCGTCCACCTGCTTCTGTTTACATCAGGCGTAAATTAAATTTGAATAGACTTTAGTTGCAATTCTAATTTTTGTGTGAGCTCGGTCAGCTTTATATTTATTTAAAAAAACTTTTCGCAATGAAATTAAAATGAAAAAAAAGCAGTCATTTTTCTTGTTAAAAGAGTTTTCCAACAAGATAGCACAAGTATTATCATCCCATTTAAAAAAATTAAGTGGGGTAGGTTTCACACCTTAAAAGGGGTGACATTTTTTTTGTTATTACAGGAAAGACCACAATCGACCTGTTTCTGCGTTTTCACCAAATATTTTATCTTGCGGCTCTAGCGAATTAGTTCCCGTTAAAGTCACACTATACAAAAATAAAATTCTGATCAAAAAATAAAAAACAGTATATATATGGTGACTACAATTTTTATGTTATTAAAAACTACATGTCAATACGAAAAAAATGAGTTCCTGAAGAATTTTGTACGATAATTTTCACCATAGAATTTCTTTTTTAAAAACAGTGTTTTTGACCGAAACAAAATAACTTTAAATTTTTTGAATTTTTTTGTTTAAAATTTGTTTGCCTATTTAAGACACACAAAGGTATAATTTTACTAAATTTCATGAAAATTTAATTATTTTTGAAAGAAGGAAAAATAAAAGAAAAAAAATTCGAACGAACTATTGCATTTTTATCGAAAAGTTTATGTTAATTTGAATGTACTAAAAATGATTTTAAAGTACTTCACATAGCTGCAGACAAAAACAAGCTATATGAAATAATTTATCTGTCTAACTTAATTTTTTTTTTTTATTAGATTTCTTATGGACCCATATATAATATGAAGTTCTTCGTTGCAGCGGAATTTCCTTCATGTAAACTTTCGTTTACTTATTATAATTTTGGAAATTGTCTAATACAACCGTTTTTCACCAAAAATTATACAAATATGCTAATTGTCAAAAATTTCGAGCCAATTCCTGTTAAGTAAGTGTTAATTTATATATTTCCTTTTTTTATAAATTTAATATTTTAAGAAATACTGTAATGACAGCTGGAAGGTATTGGACTTAAAGATAACGTTTAATCCAGACAGCACAAATAGGTCTATTGGACGTCCATTTGATATATACAATTTTAAATGTCTGGACGTCCAAAAATTAATTTTTTCCTGACTTCCGACATCCAATGGACGTCCACTTGATTATAAATAGCACACTTCGGACCATTCAGAGGACGTCTAATTCTGTAATATATTTTGACTTTGAATACTGAACATTTAATAAATATCAATTCCTGGATTATATGTTCTATTGAGACCACAAACCCACTTTTTTAAACAACCGTAACTCACTACACACTTTTATTTATTATTTTCGCAACCCGCTATGTACCATTTCTTTTTTTTTAAATAAAGATGGCTTGACCTGAACGGGGATCGAACCAACACGTCGTTCTATACTTTCAACCGCTAGACGATTTCGACCAAGGAGCCACTTAAAAACTTTTTATGTTGGGAATGGGGTGTTAATACTCTGCTACTTAAAATATCTATTGTGTCCCTTTCTGTCACTAATGCAGTAAGGAAACGTCTCTATGCCTATAACGACTCTTCCAGTCTTATATTTTTAAGAAAGTGTAGGATTTGGTAAGTTAGGTAAATCTCCCTCTTCTATTTGATATGCTCCTAGGTATAATGCCCTTGGATTCTGGAGTACTACACATTCAATCAGAATGTAAATAAAGGTTTCGTCCTCCGCCTCACAGAATCTGCACTCACTATCTTCTACTACTTTCAGTTTACTAAGGTGTCCTTTAAGTCAGCAATGCCCGGTAAGGATCGCTGTTACAATGCGTAGCCTGTTCTTGCTCAGGCAGATACAGGCTTCCGATCTTTTGTGGTTATATTCTCCAGAAGTATCTTAGCCTATCTTAGCTCCAAGAGATTGTTCCAATTATCAGTTTTTCTACTGCTTAATGTTTTTTTTAATCTATCCTAATATTGTTTTACTACTGATACCGAAGGACGGCTCAGGTCCCACAAAGGGTGTTTGAGCCCCTTTCCTTGCAATCTTATTACCCTTTGCCCCGTTAACAATAGAATTAGTTGTTACCCGTGGCTTTGCACGCGTGGAGTCGTGTTTTTAACATAAAAAAATAAAAAATGCATGACTTCTCCAAAAAAAGGAGCGATATTATGTTGTTTAGGATTCATGGTATACAGGGTGTTTCCGAACTTGGCTTCCAAATTTGTAGGGGTGGTAGTTCGCATAATTTGAGAGCGATTGGCAGATTTCATTTTTCTAAAAAATTATAATAAACAAAATAGAGCCATTATAAAAAAAATCAATTAGCGGGTCCTACCCTGAGCGCGTAGCGCAATAGTCGCCTGATCGGTTACTCATCGGGATTTACAACTCAAAAACAGATGCGATTTGCAATTTTGTCGATTCTAAGCCAACTTACGGAGAACTCGATCGTTGCGCGCGCGAGTCGAGGCGTACCATCGCTGTGCAGGACCGTACCTGTTAAAAATTTTTAATTATTTTTATTTTAAATATTTAGGAAAAATGAAATCTGCGAATAGTTCTCAAATTATGCGAACTACCACTCCTACAAATTTGGACGCCAAGTTCGGAAACAACCTGTATATGTTACACAGTGTGGCAAAGCCAAATGGAATAAATTCGGTAACAAATAAATGGGAGCGTGTTCGGAAAAACGGTCGGACATGTCAATTGGTATTTTTAGTGGCGCTTTTTTTTAACGAACACTTGTTATACAGGGTGCGTCATGTAACAGTGGACATTACCAACTTTCTTATTTTAAATGCTATAGCCTGTATAATTTTCAATTTTTGGATTATTCAGAAAATCTTAGACATATTTTATGTATTATGTCTTATAACTAACTGTTTCGGAAATATTAAATGTTTCCGATTTATTGGAAAAATTAACATTAATAAAATAAAATTATTTGATTACAGAAATTCGTTACAACACACTTAAAACCTAATAAGTAATACTGTTTATTTCTTGATAATGTAACAAAAAAACACATCTCAATGTAGGAGTTGTTCAAAATGCTCGCCACGAACTTCTCGGCAACGTCCTAATCTGAAATAAAAATGTCTTCTCGTTAATCAACATCTAAGGCGTGCCATATGTAATCGCAAGCGTTATTCGTCTTCTTAAGTCAGCTAAGTCGAAAGGTTTAGTTTTGTATGCAATACTTTTGACATGTGGCCATAAGAAAAAGTCTCATGATGTCAGATCAGGGGATCGTGCTGGCCATTCCATCGATCCTCGCTTCCCTATCCACCGATTTGGAAATACTTGATTGAGGTACTGCCAGACATTAATTTGGTAATGGGGCGGTGCTCCATCTTGCTGAAACCAAATCATATTCGCTGTAACTTGTGGGTTTGCTGGATCGGGATATACTCGTAAGTTTGTTAAAGTTGGCACAACATTATTTTGGAGCAGTGCTAAATAATTATCGCCATTCAAATTGCCATCAATGAATAAAAAACCTATGATATGATCGCCAACAAGTCCTGCCCAAACATTAACCTTTTCAGGGTATTGCGTATGTTCTTCTCTCATCCAGTGGGGATTTTCCCTAGACCAGTAGTCGGCAAACCACGGCTCGCGAGCCGCATGCAGCTCTCTTTGGCCCCTTGGGTGTGGCTCTTCCACAAACGATAACGTGCGGGCTCGCTAATACAGTGAGATTGAAACTTTGTGATGATTGCTTTTCTTATTTCTATTTTTTGATACTTGGATTAAATTTGTGTTTTTATCTTAGACGAGTAAGTACTCTAAAGGTATGCTGAGATGGTTTGTTTATACAGGTTTGGAAAAAATATACGAGCCATACGGTTTCTATTAATTGCAGGCTATTTTACGTAAAACTTCGAAGAGCATCGCAAGCAAATCGGCGAACATGTACAATAAACATCGAGATAAACATTGATGGTAAACTTAACGGTCAAAAATATTGAGATTTAATTCAAAATCAAGTTAATATTTTTCACTTGCACATAATTCCTAATTCTAGAATCAGGATATTACGTAAATATTGTATTTATTTAATTAGTGAGTAGAACTTTAGTTTTTAAGATTGCAACCTTGATTAAGTTAGATTAGAATAAAATTACTTATTGATCAACCTTTGATTATATTGTAATATTAATAATCGCCCCTTATACAGTGGAACGATGTTCACTAGTAGTGCTATAGCCTATGGCTCGTATAATTTTTTCCTTATCTTTATAAAGAGGATGAACGATAGGAGTTAGACGAAACAAGTTTATAAGACGAGTGTAGATGAGAGAGTTGGAAAAGGTCGACCTCAACAAACATACCTCAATCAGATTGAGGACGTTTTCAGCAAAGGTAAGCTTAGGAGTTTCCTAATTAAGTTAACAACCTGTATAGTTTAAGTTTAAAAAAGTTGACCCTTAAAAGACATTTCAGTCGTTAACTGTTGCTATTTGGTTCCCTTGACGAAATAGTTTGCCGACCACTGTCCTAGACCAATAGCGGTAATTTTGACGATTAGCATGACCGTAAAATGTAAAGGTACACACATCAGAAAACAAAATATGTTCTAATTGGATCACCCTATTATCTAACATTGCCATCATTTGTTCACAAAATTGCGTTCTCCTATTAAAATCGTTTTCGATGGGGATGCATTTTATTTTCTTTTAATGTTCGAATAATCGATGAATGGCTAATGTAGAACATTGGGTCTGCTTATCGACTAGAAGTATGTGGCTTTTCCTGAAACTCAAGCATAATATCCAAATTGGTATCATTAGTTATTGCATTGCTACCTGTTTTTTATCTGCCTTACATGTCCAAGCTCACGAAACTGCTTTTCTATTTTACTAATTGTCATTTGGGATATCTGCGGCAAATTTTGAAAGTTTTCATGAAATAAGTGAGCAACTTCCTTTTGTGTCCATGCATTATCTCCATAACCAATCATCTGTAGAATTTTTTGAATTTCTGTTAACCCTCCTCTACTCGCGCGGCGTCTATTAAAGCGCCGTTAGAATAATTAGTATCCATATTATTTTACTTATGCGATTGAATTTAGATATGCGCGCCCGTATACCTTTCTTTTAGTACTTAAGGATACGACACCAATAGCCGCGCTATTCAGTGGAGGGGGAAACTCCTATGCGCCAAACTGGGGTAGCGTTTAAATCAATCACCTCCACTTCACCTCTGGCGCTGCAATCATGTGGTGGGAGGTGAGTGGATAATGTAATGACAGATGACAGGTGAACATTGATTTTTGTGGAGGTGTCATGGCTGAAACGGCAGCGTGAAATTAAGTTTAATAAGTTTATTTATATTGGTGACTTGGTTGTATTCAGTTATTTTGTTCCTTTTCTATAAATATGCTTGATAATTATTATGGAAAATGTTGTGTACCGAATTGCCTTGATGTGGACAAAAAGATGCATCGCTTGTCCCATCCTACGAATTCACCTAATTTATTTGATATTTGAGCACTTGCTGTTCCTTGTCCAAAATTTAATAATAAAACAAGACAACAAATTTATTTCACCTTTGTAGTATGTCATAAACATTTCGAAGAGAAGTTTAAAATAGTTGGCTCTCGCCGAGGTCTAAAGCTTAAAGTATTTCCAATGCTATTCCTCACCGCAGTTCGAGGTTGCAAAGCTGTATCGTAGAAGAAAGAAGCAAATTATTAATATATGTTGCACTTCTTTTCGAGAAGGAAAGTTAGTACTCGACCCATTTATTTTATACTTATACTGTAAATTTTCTGTTTCATGACGGGTTGCAAAGCTGTATCGTAGAAGAAGCAGACTTACAGTGTGTATTTTCTGTCTCATGACGGGTTGCAAAGCTGTATTGTAGAAAAAGTAGACTAATTGTGTGTATTTTCTGTTTCATGACTTTGGGGGCCCAAAGCTGTATCGTAGAATTTGCTGGACTTATTAAAAA